AAGATTAAAATATCAAAGTCATTGGTATTTCTTATTATTGATATTATAATGTTTAATTCATTTTGATCAAGTTTTCGCTTTTCTAGTTGTCAACTTTTGTTCGCAAAAAAATCTTTATTAAAAGAACCATACTTTCAATATACATTATTTGTAGTATATATTTAATACTGTAGCTAAACTACTTTTATTATTTCTAAGGAGGGGGTGGTAAAGCAGAAATTATAAAACTCCTATATTAAGCACTTTATACGTATTATTATTTTGTAATTATAATGTAATTGAAATTTTATCACTGAACTTTACGCACAATGCAGTACCACTTTTTAAAATAATTAAGACATTGCTATTGCAATCTGTACTTTTAATAATTTTGCATAATTAGTTTTGACTTTTATTAAATTTGGCATCGCTATCTAACGATTTGATATATATTATATTGCTTACACCTTTAGGAATTTATTTTAGTGAATGTTGCACTTTATATGATATTGGTGATTCATCTTATTATTTTCAACCAAAATAGTGTCTAAATGAACCGCGATAATATCATTTCTATCCAACATAGGTCTCTGTGCAATTATAGATTTAGCTATTATTACCTACAATATCAATTTGTTTTATAAAGTCTTTATGATAATATATATATATAAAAGATGAATACACCAATTGTTATCGTTGGCGACTCTATTCTCGGAGGTAGGAACAGTTGTAAACTTCAAACCTCGTCCGATGAATTGTATCTTCGTGGATTCAATACTGTCAGTGGCAATAACCCAACAGACTCTGCGCGAACATCCCAGGGTGCCGGTGAAATTATTGCTGCGGTAAGTGGTTGTGTTGAGGTTATAGAAAAGGTTGTATCAGTCAAAGGGAGACAACCCCGCTATCTTGCAGAAATTGGGGATGTTGTAATTGGACGAATTACTGAAATTTCTGGAAACAAGTGGCTTGTAGATCTTAATTCTACACACGATGGGATTATGCTCTTATCGAATGTTGCCGAACCTGGAGGAATACTGCGACGTCGAGGCCGTAGTGATGAGCTCAGTATGCATCAACTTTTTGACCAGAATGATCTTGTAGTGGCCGAGGTTCAACGCATATCGCCAGATGGAGTTATATTTCTTCATACTCGTGCTGCAGAAAAATACGGTAAGCTAACCTCCCTTGGTCACCTAGTCTCTGTGCCTCCCTTTTTTATTAGGCGTGCGAAGCACCAATTTCTTGAGCTTCCTGACTATAATACACAGCTTATTGTTGGAATGAATGGTAATATATGGGTTTCTCAAATGACGAAAAATGCAAATAACAAAAGCTTAGAGGATCACAGCCAAGATGATGTGGATGTTCGGCTCAATGTGGCACGTGTAGCTAACTGCGTAAAGGTACTTGGTATATCAGGTATTAAAATCTATTTTAAATCAGTAGAAAGCATAGTAAATAGATCCAAAGCAATAGGTTTTAGTCCGTATGATATACTTCTCCTAAAAAATCGTGAAGCTTTAATCTCTGAAGTTTATGATATTATAGGAACTAAGCGTCTACGAACTTGAATAAAAACATGCGTTTAAATATAAAATATAACAAAATATGAAATATCCTAATAGAACATCAATACATTAGCCAAAAAATGTATTGCGTGAAATTAAGATTTACTAACAAATAAGTTTCAATCATGCATGCTGCTTTTCAATCTTTTAAACTGAAAAAGTTACAGTATACATAGCCTTGTTGTCATAAATCTCTTTTCCCTATTTTTATATCTTATTTGTCATAGATTCACTTAGAAGAATTATATGATGAGTTATTTTCTTTACAATTAGGGAAGGATTCATGAAGTAAAAGGTTTCAAATAAAGTTTTGCATACCATGGTATAACTCAATATGTATTTGATATTTTTGTTTAACATATTCAGGTTTCCAGTGTTGCGAATATCAAATATCAAGATTAAGTATATATATATAAGTGGAAAAGAAACACAAAAGCTCAAATTAATCCATTACGATTAGTTGTTTTCTTAAATTTCACTTTATAAGAGAATATTATAAGTGCAAAACGTTATTTTAAATAGTCCTTGTTGAAGATGGATTTAATGCGTCTCACTTTTCTGTGCTCATTCCTGACTTTAACGAACCTCAAACGGTTGTCTTCTAAATCATTAAAATAAATTAATTATATATATATGACAGCAATAGGAGTAAGTGTTCCTTTTATATTCAGTCTTGTTCAATATATCCGTAAAAACGATCATTTGGATTTCAGTAGTGAGATGCGAGAGAAAAGTGATGCAATCAAATCTTTAGGAAAGAACTATTTTGATTTTGAGTCTGTTTAATGAATCAAAAGTTCCAAGATAAAAAAAAGTGTCTTTAAGTGTAAATAAGTCGTATTAACCTTTGCTGTTTTATATTTATTCTTGATAAGTAATTTAATTTTAATTACTCTTTAGTATTCTATTAACAAATTAAACAGTGTATCCGATGTTGTATATACATCAGTGGCTAATTAACACTACCTTTTAAGATTCTATCCTTTACTGGAGTCCTAATTCTGGAAATTAGTTAGGATTTTAAGTAACTTTTGAATATACTAATCATTGCATCATTGATAAAGAGACAGCTAAATGTTATAAGCAACTGTAATCAAGCACACTCACAAACAAATGTATCCTGGTTGACGATATAAATCGTGTTACACTTTACTTTTCTTATCCGATATATGAAAATAAGTCAAATATAAAATTTTCAAAATGTACTTGGGTTGTCCATGTCACACATCTTTTTTATAGAACTAGTATCCAAGAGAAAATAAAAAGTTATACTATATATATATTTGAAACAAATGTCTCCATGGCCCTTGTTCCAGAGACAATTTCTTAATATGATAGCACGCAATCCACAGTTCCGAGTGGCTTTTAAAAAAAGCGTTGAGCGAGCTTTGAGAACACCAACTTTTCGAAACCTTAAGCATAAATCTGAAACTGCATATCAACGCATCCTCAATATTGCTACAGACGTATCGGGTAAACGTCAGTCACATGGAAAGCCACAATTTTCTCACTTTAACATTTTAAGGCGGAAGTTGCTGCTTTTTTGGCATCAACACAAAATTAAATTCTTTGCTTTTTTAACCGCCAATTTTATGGGTATTTTATTCATATTTCAAATGCTTCCTTTGATTTATAGTAAGCTAAGAATGGGTGTAAATTATTTGACTTCCCCGTTACCGCCATCAAAAAAAAATCATTGTCAAGATACTGAAAAAAACAAAAGCGAGAATATCTTGCTAGAGCGTGAGGATTGCAGCCGTAAGCCTTCAAAACTAACAAATGACCCCCCAAACGGTTTAAATTTGTATCAGCACCAACATAACGAAGGTGTAATGTCGCAATTGTTTACAGATGAAACGTCAGCGTCTAACAATACTTTGTTCTCTTCGTCCGCTTTATTTGATGATACCTTAACAAATAATGATGAAACGCTGAGAGACAAAGGTGTGTACCTTTCGCACCAAAAAAATACTAGCAATCTCTCTACAACTAAAAAAAAATTCAATATCGATTATCAAACGTCGTTTCTTGTAAAAATGGATGGTGATACAGAATTCACCTCATCCTTGGAGCGCGAAAATCTAACTGGAGCTATCACTACCTCGGGTATAGACCACGTTTAAGATTTAGATAATTGTATCAAGTAAGGCACAGCGACACCAACAGGCATATCTTTATGAGTTGCAGCTTTGTGTTCTTTCTCTGTTTTGCTGTCTTGAGTATTTCATTTTGCTCATGCGTTGTATATTGCACTTTCCATTATTGGCCAAAAGTTTTAGTTGAAAAATCTCTTCTTAATCGTTTAAATACTTGCCATTAGGGGTAGCGTCAAATTGTTGTGTTATTAGCATTCATGTTTACCAACATTTCTAGCAACAACGAGCTCCTGTATCATGTTTTGAATACTGTACAGACTTCTGGGGAGCCCATTGTATGCTCCACACTTTCACCTCTTGGCAACCTAGAGGCATTTATCGAAGAAGTGAAGCGTCGTCATCTACGTATTGCTGCATTTCCAAACGGGGGCATCATTGTTTTTCCGATCATTCCCGTAGAAGAGGCTGAGCTGATGGAAATATGTGAAAATTACTGTAGTATGGAAACCGATCTAGACCGTGCTAATATGCGGCATAGCCTGTACCTCCGTGAGTATCCTTTGTTTGATGCACAATCTTGTAGTCGCGATGCGCTTTACCATCCAGCCGATTGCGTCATAAGACTGGCCGAACTTTGCCTTAAAGTCGTCCGAACGTCTCAAACAAATCTCGAGAAGTTAGCACCATATGCTCTTTATCTATACATTGATCAAATTAAAGTGTTATGTAATTATGTCTATTGGCGTTTGAACCCCACTGCGTCGGAAGTAATGAATTCTTCTTCTTCCCATGAGCAGTCAGGGCTGGAAATGCACTCTCACGAGGCCGGAGATGGAATTGTGAAAACGACTAAAAGTGAGGCCGATGGGGACCAAATGAGTCCAATCCCATTCACAAAACATCCTCATGACGGGGCTAATGAATCCACCCAAGCAAACGACGACGATCTCGAGGACGATTTAACCGGCCAGGAGAAAGTGGATGACGCGTCGGAGGTGGCGGAATATGTCAAAGAGGCGGATTATCCATTAATCACGCAATACTCCAAATTTTACAATGGCGAAGGGGATAGTCGACGGTTGGCCGCGGTTTACTTCCCTGGTGGGATCGATCCGACGATTTGTCGGGCCACCTCCCGCGTCCTCGAGCCCGCGGCGACGCGGTCGAATTTACGGGCCGCGACAAATGGCGGAACGCCCCCCGAAACGGGAATTGTGGGGTTTTACGATTATTTAAACAACCCAACTCCACAGAAATGCCGCGCGACGCGCTTTACACGCCAAAATGGAGACTCGGTGATGAATGGATGTCAGACTTTTCTGCAGGCCCTCGACAGCATGTACCACGCGCAGGCCCCGGCGCATTACCAACTTCAGCGCATGGCCATTCCCCCGCGATTTGAACTGTGCGGGACGGCATTCAGTACCTTGACGGTCAACCGCAACTTTCGAACGGCGGTTCATCGCGATCGTGGGGATTTCCGCGGCGGGCTTGGGGCGCTTTGCGTGATTGACGGGGCCTTTGACGGCTGCCATCTCGTTATTAAACCCCTTCAAAGGGCCTTTCGTCTAAGCGTGGGCGATGTTTTGCTTTTCGATACGAGCCTCGAGCATGGCAATACGGAGGTGCACAATTCCGAATTGCCCTGGAAACGAATCAGCGTCGTTTGCTACCTTCGGAATGGATTAATGTCGTCGATTTGTGAGATCGAGCGTCGTAAACATCTCAATCGGAGCATCCTCGGCTCGCTAACAAATTCCAAAGAGACGGGATCGGTGGTGAATATAAATGGCGTGGATAAAACTCTCCCACCGCTGTTTATCCCCACCAAGCTTGTCAACGAACTCGCACCGGTCCAACTTTCCGCGCTGAACTTCGCGGCGGAGCGGGGAAGTAGAAATAGTGGATGTGTGCTTGCCATGACGATGGGAATTGGCAAAACGTTGGTTGCGCTCACGCTCTGCTTTTCTTATTTCTTTAATTGTCCAAGTCGGGACATTCTGATTCTGGCCCCCAAACCCATTATCGGTCATTGGGTTCATGAGCAAAAAAAGTGGGGAACGCACGGCCTTCAATTTAACCGTCTTGTAGCCTCAGATCGTATTGACGCCAAGGAGTTTGATGAAAGCTTGCACCTTTTTGATCAGCAGTTATGTGGTGATCAACCTAAAGAAGGTCATTTGATTATTATAAATCCAGAGTACTTGACGACTTTTTCGAAGCGGTTTGAAAAATTTGATCCGCAACTTATCATTGTCGATGAAGGTCATCGAGTGGCTGCTCGAGGCAATAAACTTATAGAATCACTTTCAAAGTACAAATGCCGTTTGCGTATAGTACTTTCAGGGACGCCATTGCAAAACAATACAAAAGAGCTCTATCGTCTAGTGAGTTGGGTGAATCAAGAGATTTGTAAAGTCATTCCCGAACGCTTGTTTGATGATTTTGCGAATGATATCAGCAAGTACGTAGCGGGGGATGACAGTGTATTTCAAAAAGCCTTGGTAGCTCAGCAGTTCATTCAAGATTGGATGAAGGGCTTCATCTTTCGTGAGATGAAAGTCGATCTTCCACCGTTGAATGATTATATATTGATTTGCAATAGCTCCGAAACGCAGCAACGACTCGAAAAGCAAATTGGGATTGAAATCGGGACAAGTGTTATGCGGGTAAGTGAACATCGCCCTTCTCACCTGTCGGCGCATCCGCTTTGCTATTTTGCGTTTATTTGGGGGGGATATCACTCTTTATCGTATGGATACACTAAACATGGCAGATATGACAGTGCGATTCATTACTCCAAAAAGGATTTTCTCGAGATGGAGCGTTATTATAATAGCATCAAAAACGACGAAATCGATTCTTTTACCGCCTCGAGCGGTAAACTGTATGCACTCATTAAAATTGTCCAGCAGATTCAGGCAAAAGGTGAAAAAGTCATCATATTTTCCCAATATGTGGGGGCCCAGGATATCATCCACCGAACCCTCACGGCGTATAAAATATCCGCCTTTACAGTTCGCGGGCGGGACTCGCAGGACCGGCGCCAGAGTGCGATTCAGCTTTTTTCGCACCACAACAAGATGGTCGCGTTGGTGTTGTCGACGAAGATCGCCGCGTTTGGGTTGGATTTCACCGCGGCCAACCACGTTATTTTGTTTGATTCGTGGTGGAATCCCCAGGTCGACGCGCAGGCCGTTGCGCGAGCCTATCGACGCAATCAACAAAAATCCGTCACCGTCTATCGATTGGCTTCTCTGCTGGAAGGGAGCTCAATTTTAAAAATGCAAACCCGCAAGATCGCGTTATTTAATTGTATTATGCACGAGAAGACGAGTCGTAGTGCGCGCTCCAATGAGGTTCACGATTATGCCGACAGTGAAAAAGATCCCGATAGACAAATGTTGTGGCGAAATCTTAAAGAATCTTTACTTGAAGGGGGTCATCCCATTCTTCAGGCGGTCTACCTTCACCGCGATACCGTAAAAGATACCGATTACGCGCGAGATGAGTTGGATGATTTTAATGACTAACTAAATTTAAATTCATGGAAATGGAACGATGGGGTTTATAACCCTTATAATTACAGGTATAAAATCTCATTCCTTTATTAAAAACAAATATTCATCCCTTTCTCGGCCTTAAGGCGGCTTAGCTCGTCTGATCTTTTCCTTTTTAATTTTCTTATTCGCCATGGATCGCTCAAACTCTTTTTGAAGGTGCAACCATGCGGTCATGTGGTCAGCCGAGGCACCGAAAGTGGTGTGAGTGGTCTTTTGACTTTCCTCTTTTATTTTCCTTTTGACCTCTTCCTCTAAGGCCCCCCAAATGGTTTTAAGATGACCGTGGATGGAGTTGAAAAGACCAGGCAGGTCTTGGAGAAGCTATTTTTACCTATTTTGCTCCTACGAGCGGCAAAAAAAAGGGATGAATGGATGAACCAAAAGCTGTGTAAGTGTTTGCCCTTTCCGGATGAAAATACTTTACGCCAGACCTGGCTCTTTTCCAAGTGGCCCACGTCCGCTTTAAAAGCGGTGCTTGAGCGCTCCACCTTAAAAGCCTTCGCGCCTGGAAGAATTGTAGGGTTGGAGGGGGAGCCTCGCAGGCATTTATCCGTTTTTTATGTCGTCTCCGGCAAAGTTAGCCACATTCCAACCAAAAAAGAAATGTGGGCGCTCGCCCTGTACGTTCCGGAGCGAATTGAGTCCAAATACCACAAATCGGACCCGTTGAAGTGGTTTCGCTATAAAAATTTCGAGCAAAACGGGACTGCCGGGGCGTCGGTGAGTATTTCTCGCGATCTTTTGCTTGGCAATCTTCACATTTATCGTGTCGGCCAGTTAGTGGATGTGGAGTTTTTGCTTTTAGGGGCCCCCACCCGACCTCGTTCGATCCAATGTCGGGACGAATCCATCCTACTCGACATCCCGCTTGATGTGATTTTAATGCAGTTTTATTCCTTAAAACCCTATACCCGTCAGGTCGCCCTCGACAAAGCGCGCTCGACAGGCTGTCTGAATCTCGCGAAAGGAAATGATAAGCCCTCTTTTAAGGATATTCTCTACTACAACCCCGTTCTGCAAGGCCTATCCACCGGCAATGTTGAGCACACCTGGATGAAGTTGACGCCCTTTTTGTTCTGCAAGGGCGAAGTCATCTGCGGCGATGTCTACCATTCGGCGGTGGTGTATTTTATCAAAAGCGGCCAGGTGAGCATCACCTCGTCCAATTCGAAGGAGACCAAAATTATCGATCAGTGCGCCTCGCATATCGGGCTGGATAGCTTTATGGTTCACACGGTGCCCTCGTGCATTGGCGATCATCATATGGCGGTGGCGCGTGGGTTTTGTATTTTGTGGGGAATCCCCACAAGCGAGCTGAGTAGCCTTTGCAGCCCGCTGGACCTCCTGAACTGCTCGTTGTTGGCGTCGAAGATGGTCCGGCATAAGTGGAGCCGGCTGAATATCACGGGATGCTTGCGGAAATTGGTCGCCTTCACCCCGCTCTCGAATGATTGTCTGAATGGGATCGCAAAGGGTTTGGTGGCGCGCGTGTATCCGCCGGGGAAGCGGCTGATGTCGTGTGGGGAATTAAAGGGAGGGGTGATCGTGTTAGTGGGGAAATGCGCACTGGGGAAGATAACGGAGAATGTCCGGCGCATCACTTGTGGGGAGCCGCTATATTTTTGCGAATCTTTGCTCAACATGGCAGCACCGAAGCCGATTTTTGCGGAAACGAGTACTATGGTTTTGCATTGTCCATCCAAGGTGATTTTAGACGCCGTGCAGGTCTTTGATAATGCCTCGAATATTACCAATCTTTTAAAGATGGCGAATGAATTTGTGGTGGGGAAATATAATCTCGACATCTCCAAGACGGGAATTGCCCAACAACGCGCTGCCCAACGGGTATGGGAGGCGAAGAAAAAACAACATCTGATCGCTTCGCTGAACAAAAAAGAACAGATGGCGGAAACGCAAATAAAAGGTGAGAACAATTTCTTAGGAACCGCAATACTCGAAAACAACATTTTGACAAATTTGACTTTACAACTTCAATCGCTTCGGTATAACGAGGAGGAAGCGCAGCGGTATCACTTTCTTCACGAAGTACAGGTTTTACACAACCCACACCTAGACCCATCACCTGTACCTTATCGAAGCGATGAGCACTTTACAATTGACAAGAATGGTAAACTCGTGTTTTGCAAAATGAAAAAGAAAAAAAATAAAATTAAACGTTTGGTATCGATAAATAGAATATATGTCAATGTAAAAAATGATTGCAAAAAAGTCTCAAATGACGAAATCGTTAAACTTCCCCAAGTAGATAAACCTATCAGTGATAGTTTACTGTCTTATCAAAAATCTAAGTCTAATCGTGCAAGTATATTAGCAACAATAAATTCCCATATTTAATCTTAAAAAGTCATCTGTTGATACTTCTCCACCTCCGCCTAAAAAATCGCTTCAACTTGAGTTTCCACAAAAAATTCAAACGCAAATGAAAAGCGAAAATTGGGACCTCGGCGTGAGAATTGAAACGACTTCACTTATTAACATAAATTATCCACGTTAAATGTATATATTTTTTCATTTACCAAAGGGCTTGTATTATTAATAGTACCCGTATTACGATCTGTGTTTCTGAGGTGCAATATACATAAATTGTGAAAAGAAATCTCTTTGACTTCATCCGAAAATGAGAAATAGAACTCATAATATCTAAAGTCACTTGATGTACATTCTTTAATGAGTTACATGTGTTTATTAATGTATTTTAATATATCTATACATACATATTTACACATATATATATATATATATATATATATATATATACATAACATTACATATTATCACTATGCAAGATAACCTTAAATTTGAAAACAGATAGGAATTGAATTTACCGAATGCGGAAAATTCTATCCAATATTACCATCCTTATACCAAATCACGTTCTGTTTGGGTTAGTAAGATAAGGTGTCTGGAAAAGTGATTTTTTTAAGCATCCAAAACTTTATGGCCATGGCTTGATGCAGTATTGATCGTGCAAAAATCCCCACTACCACCGAACAATAAATACACAATTTTTTTGTCTGTCTTCTCTTTAGGAATGACTGTGTAGATATTAAGGTATTTGAATTAGCTGGGTCTACAGCAGGCTAATGGGAAAAGCGTTATTTGCGAACGCACTCGGATAGATTTTGCCCAGACTACGCAATATTTCTTTATAAATCAATATTTATATTGTTGATGCCGCTTCTTATCAGTTGTGTATGGCAGGTAGCGTATTTCACCTTTTAAAATATATTTCTTTATTTGTCTTCATCAATAATGAGTTGGAATTCCTTTTTGTGGAGTACCTGGCATCTTATACATTGGTTATCAAATCAGACTATGTCATGCTGTTGTATCAGTTACAAAAAAATGAAGTGAACTTTTAGCAAATCCGCAAAAGACTTATGCAAACTAACGAGCCTCTTCTTCACTATATTGTATTCTGCTTTTGCTTGTTATACACCATCTTATATTTTAAAAAGCTTTTAGGAATACTTGACATCTATTATATTCCTCTTTTATGATTTATATAGCGTGTAGTCGTTCAGCTGAAAAGTAAAAGTCTTTAAAGCATTGAATGTTGGTAGGATGATTCGAAGGTTGACAGGATTCAACACCCATAAGGTATCATTTCTCATCCCGAAATGTATGCTTTTTCAGCAAAACCATGTGAACATGAGTCGAAGTGTGCAAACTCGCTGGAATATGGATTCCCAAACCACCGCGCAGCATCGTACCGAATATGACCTTGACAAGGAGCAATGGTCTAAACAAATGAAGTTTCCTTCGATGGATTGTATTATGGATCCCGATATTAGGCCAATACGCTACACCTCATTTGCGGGAATCAAAAAAGCGGTTCGACGATTTGTTACGATTAAAAAACTGCTGGAGCGTCGTCCTGACTTCAGCAGCGCTGAGTTAAAAAAACTCTTTATTCAACTCAAAATCGCGTCAAAGGCAAAAGACCTTAATACGGTTAAAACACTGCAGCGCATTACCACCCATGCTGAGGCGGTGCGAATTTCCAAGGAAATTAAAGCCCGCTTGAATGAAGAATTCGCGAATAAGAGCTGGAAAGCCCTTAAAGGGCAGACGCTGGAGAATTCATACGAAATTCTCGTGGATTCCTTTGATCTCGTCACCTGCTATATGGGGCAAATGACTTCCGATGACTGGCTGCAAATAACCTACCGTTGTGAATATCGCGAACGCGAAGGAAAGGAGTTTGATTGGGTGAAAATGATGGAATATCCGGTCTTTGAGGTGCGTCTTGGTGATGGAGTCAGCTCGCCGAATGCCTACCCTTTTATTGTAGTGGGCGTCATGCGCAAAGATGGTACGCGATACGGTCAAGATGGACAAGATGCGGCTTCCTTACGCAAACAATTTGATCGAAACAGGCGCTTCTTCTAAAAAAGTTCGTAAAAAAATCCTATCCCTTTAATTAACCACACATTTGTTTCTTTGCTGACTTTTTTTTATCGACACTGCAAAAACATTTACGGTCCAATAACCCATTTCTCTCAACAAACAGAAGTATTGAAATAACACCCCAAATTAGACACTTTGTGTGGATGAGATGATTGGCTGTTATTCATGAATGATTTGTTTTACACAGATTACTAAATTTTTCATTTCCATTTTCATTTATTTATCATATATATATATATATATATATATATATA